AGTTCAGAATAACATGTGCATACTTGTTTATTTTTGTAAGTCTATTATCGCTATTCGCTATACTTCTGCTGTTGTAATAATGTACATTTCTCCATTTTTAAGGATTTGTGATCAGAAAAGGACAGGAAAACAAAAACAGAGGGTAAGAGAGGACATGAGAAACAGACAGTGACAGGCCCACCCAGAGGAAGCAGATGTTTGTTTATATTCAACTCACTCACTCAAACTCACTGGACCCCAACATTAATCCCTGAGGCACTCCACCTTCACTTTCCTACTCTCAACCCACCCATGTTGTTGCCTAAAGCATTATCAAGGGATGCACCAAACAAGAACAATCTGCAACAACAGATCATGGTTATTATCCTCAATGTGCACACACACTTAAATAATTATCCTACAGATCAGTACAGCTTACAAAGAAGAAATACAATCGGATGCTTTTACAACAAACACAAAATACTCTTTTGAAATGTAATATTAACCTGTTTTTTATGTACATTTCAGGGAATACTGTTCACGCACGCACGCACGCACGCACGCACGCACGCACGCACGCACGCACGCACGCACGCACGCACGCACGCACGCACGCACGCACGCACGCACGCACGCACGCACGCACGCACGCACGCACGCACGCACGCACGCACGCACGCACGCACACACACACACACACACACACACACACACACACACACACACACACACACACACACACACACACACACACACACACACACACACACACACACACACACACACACACACACACACAGGAGGAGAATCAACAGGATGTTTTTTGTTCTCTTACGGAGGGGAGTGTGTCTGGCACTAATACGCACTTCTGGTAAACACTGTACTTATTTTTTTTAGTAGCAGCATTCCCCCGATAACAGTTCACGAACATCAGAGGCCAGCAGAAACAGAAGCCTGCAAGTTTACAATAAACTGCATTTCTTAGATAAAAACACATTCTCCATATACAAGGAGACTCTTTACTGTTGACTCAAGAGAGGGCATGTCAGGGTAGACTGACTGCACATATTAAGACTACAGTGGGTACTTCTGGTATTGTAAATATCCCACTTGTGCATTTACCCCGCAACTAAATACTTCAAAACGTAAGCTATACAGTCGTACAGCCACTTTATTTTCAACACAATGCTCTGTGTCTTTGCACGACTTGAGTTTCCCAAACATTTTGCTCTCCCTCTCTCTTAGCGAGTGATAAAAACCAGGGCTGCGGTGACTTTAAATGCTAAGCTAATTGGTGTTTTGAAGCCAAACTGACCAAGTCTTCCTCCTACTTCAGAGCTTGATTCAGTAATTGGCTGTTTTCTCAGGGTCAAGACAAAAAAAAAGCGGGATAAGAGAAGCAAGCTCGTCAGTGGGATGCCATTTTACATATCTAACTCAAATCAAGGAGGATTTAATAGAGATAATCTCAAAGGAATGTCACAATTATCTTCAAAGATGAATCCAATAACAGCATTTGGTCTTTTACTTTAAATTCAATGAAGCGATAAGAAGCAAATTTCAACCCGACTCTAAAACACATATTTAATAAGTCAGTGAGCTGCATGATTTGGACAGCTGCCAGCATACTTGATGCACAAGATGATTTCATTATCTGCGGTGGTGGAGCTGACACTTCATTAGACTCAGATAAGCTATTCATTCCTGCCCGTCAACTGAGCGGAGAGGACAACAGGAAGTACAAACATCTGGCCTCGACATTCTACACTATGCCTTTTTTTCAAAATTACTATGCTATGTCGTATTTTCGACAAACTATACTATGTCGTTTTTTGGTATATTTTCAACATAATATACTATGTCGTGGAAACATCTTTTTTTTGCATATGTTGGACATCGTATACTATGTAGTTATTTAGCATATTTTCTACATACTATGTTGTTGTTTTTTTTATTCGACATGTCACTTTTTCCCAAATTTCCGACATAGTTTTTTTGCCATATTTTCGACATTCTATACTATGCCTTTTTTTCAAAATTACTATGCTAACGTTTGTTTACATATTTTTAGACAAACTATACTATGCCGTTTTTTCGAAATTCGACACAATACGCTATGTCGTTTTTTTACATATTTTTCGACAAACTATACTATGCAGTTTTTTCAAAATTCGACATACTTACTATGTCGTTTTTTTGATATATTTTCAACATAATATACTATGTCGTTATTTAGCATATTTTCGACAGACTATACTATGTCATTTTTTCTTAAATCTTCGCCAGAGGCACTGACTGATGTGCCAGCAGAAAGGACAACAGGAAGCGAAAACACCTCGCCTTGTTCTCGTCTCCATCACACAAAGAAACTCCCTCACAGCCAGGAATCAGAGACGAATTAGGACGGGAAGAACGCAGGTGTTGAACAACTCCATGCTAACGTGCTGCATGCTAATGTGTTAGCTGTGCAACGTAAGCATTGGTCATGTACGTTCGGCAGACAAATCTTAAAAGTCATTAGCAGCGTCTCATTCAAAATGATGTGATGCCTTTAGGAGACAAATAGGAAAACACATTGAAAGCTTCAGTCTCACAGCACTTGGAGATAATTAATTCATATGTCTCTCTTTATGGAACAAAGCTCTGTACATGTTACTTTGCATAATCTAGGATGTACATGCATGTATGATTCATCGGGTGATGATAACATGTTGACACATTTCCATATGGTACAAACATACCATGATTAACATCTCCAACGATTACAACTACAGATATCTTGTCACTTGACAGCTGTGGAGCATGTATAGTTAAATCTGTCATGCAAATGGTTAGATTTAAACTGTAAAATGATGGTACTGCAGTTCAAACTTGATGCAAAAATGCTTTTGTGCATGCTTCCTTTTTGACTTATCAACCTGAAATCTTAAAATAAAAAATAAAATATCTTTTGGCAAACACCACCCAGGTCAGGATATGTTCAACCTCTGTCAAACAGGCCAGCACATGTTGGCACAATTGTATATACGGGGGGTTTGCATGTGCACAAACAAGAGTGCACGCACACACACACACACACACACACACACACACACACACACACACACACACACACACACACACACACACACACACACACACACACACACACACACACACACACACACACACACACACACACACACTCCGACAGGCCGGGGCAGGCAACAGCTCTGCCTGCTTATGAGCTTCTCAAGGACAATGACATTTCAGAGAATTTAGCCGCTGCTTTACCGACAGGAAGAACAAATCTTACAAAGCTCCAACAATAACAAGCGAAAGGGTCAGAGTTATAGCGTGTAGCATGTCTGAAAACACACAAGAGTTCGAGTGTGTGTGTGCGTGTGTGTGTGTGTGTGTGTGTGTGTGTGTGTGTATTATTAGTGTATTTTTATTTTATTTACTTCATAAATAATGCTGTCTTTTAAGTCATCTACAGCAGACATATTGTGAAATTAAATGTTTTAATAAGTATAAAAAAAGTCTAAATAGCAAGATGTTTTTTTAACCTGCAGTTAGGATATCACAAAAAATGTAATTGGAAGAAACATGTTCTCCCTTGGTTCCCAGGAGGATATTACAACACATTCAATACAAATTAAATTATACAACAACCTCAAAAAAGACTAGGAGACTGTGGGGAAGGATGCCAACAAATCAGTCCTATGTGAAACTCACAAAAAACAAACCCTCTTAGTGTAAAAAGCAAGAGCAAAAACCCTGTAGTGTTAACAGGCTGAAGGTCAAGCTGAAGGGTGCAGTTCAACAGCAGGTTAATGATGAATCCTTGCACCTTAAACCCCACTTTTTGGTTATTTCGAGGCAGGCGGCGCTGACCCGTGCTTTGATTTCTCCTTTCAACGTTTTCCTCCGAGGAGAATCATTGTTCAGTATAAAAAAAAGGGTTGTGGTAGGAAGAGCAACAGGGGGGAGTAAGAGGCAACATGCCAAACAGGAAAGTGTCAGTTTCTGCTCTGACAGTTTGTCGTGGGACGGGCCTGAAAATATTTGGCGGGGAGTTTTGAAAAACCCCTTCCTCTTTCAGGGAAAAACCCCGCCCTCTCTGCTGCAGCCGGAGAAAGTGAGCCAGAGGTTTTTTTGGGCAGAAAGGGAAAGGACTTGGCACGGCGTTCGTTTGTTCGGTGTGGTGAACCGCTTACAAAATCTCTACGTCTGTTACACTGTCTGCACACCCTCGCTGGGGGTAATGAGTGAGGAGGGGGCAATCAATCTGAAATATTATCCAGCCTGGGGGACAGAATCAGGGGAAAAAAGGACCCCTTAATATTAGAGACTTTTCTTAGGGAGCACCCATTACTGTTGCATTCGTTTTTATTTCCTTAGTAGAGCAGGCAGGGCTCACTAACCAGGTAGATATCTTGAAACTTTAAACACACTCTCCAAACTAAACTCTGTAGTCTGACAGTGACACACACACACACACGCACGCACGCACGCACACACAGCAGATCAGTTAATAATGTGCAGATATTTTGGCTCATGTTATTCTAGTTTACATGTGCTTTTACTTGCACATTGAACATTCTCTTGCACTATTATATTTTTATTCAGTTTCTTTTTGCACAATTTTTTATTGTCTTACGTCTTATATACAGTATATTTATGTGTCATTGATGGAGGAATGCTACACTGTGCATATGACAATAAACCCTCTGAATCTTTGCATCTACTCATCCAGGTTCCCTTCTTAGTTGATGACCAAAAAACCAGCGACACCATCCCATCATAGCATCACACATGACTCATCATTAAAGTCACTTTTAGACCCCAGCTCCCACCAGGACGCAGAAACAGAGCCTCTCTCTGATCTCTGACACCTGTGGAGTCGCACAGAAACCCAGAGAGAGAGAGAGAGAGAGAGAGAGAGAGAGAGAGAGAGAAGGAGGAGAGAGAGAGAGAGAGAGAGAGAGAGAGAGAGAGAGAGAGAGAGAGAGAGAGAGAGAGAGTCCAGCTGCACTCACCTTGCAGATTTTGCTCTCCTCCGTCTCAGCTCTGGACTTCCCTTCAGGTGTCCTCTCCGGCTGGTATTGGGATTTGATTGACACCGGCTTACTGCCCAATGAGGCCGGCTGCCTCAGTTTGGAGGCGACGCCAACAACCGGCATACTTCCCAAAACTCAAAAATAACAAACAGGCGAGGAGGGGAGAGGTCCCAACAAGTGCTGTGAGGAAAGGGAAGTCTGCTGTGACTCTCTGCACAGGAGAAAGTAAATCGAAAGAAATAGAAACAGCCTCTCAGACTGAGAGGAAAGCTCTCATTGTGTTGCCTTCAGCGAGCAGGACTCACATAAAGTGAGACAGCTTCTCCTTCCTCACATTTACTCCCTCCTCCTTCTCCTCCTCCCACAAGCAACAGTATTCCCTCCCCTTCCCTTGCCTCTCTCCCTCTCTCTCTCTCTCTGTCAGAAGTGCAGCATAAAGTCAGCCAAAACAGTTCAAGGAGGGGACTGAACTCCTCTGGAAGGTATATGTGAAACCTGGCTGAGAGTGGCCCAAAGCACACCGTTAAAAACAGCTTCATGTCCCCCTTAAGACCCTCTCTCTTCGGCCACCTCTGGAGCTGCTCATCCCTCTGAAGAAAGGGGGAAAAGTCCTCAGAGTTACACAGAAAAAAAGAAATCTAAACAAAGCCTATTTGATGGTTGAAATAGAAATGGAGGATTCCAGTTTGAACATCTGTTGCTCCTGGAACTGTTTCCTTTCTTTTTTACTTTAAAGTTTGTTTGTTGTTGAACTGGTTTATTCTGCTGATTGCTCTGTGAATGAGATTGAACAGTATTTCGTCTGTCTTTTTCTTAGTAACTCATTGCCATATTCACGTTTTCCCTTTATGAATGGAGTCAATGCCTCACAACATGAACAAGTATCAATCAGTACCAGTTCAGCAGGTGCCAAATGTCTTAAAGAGGCCATATCCTGTCCATCTTCAGGTTCATATCAGTATGTAGTGTCTCTACTTTAAAGAGTTCTCTCCTGCTGATGTTCAGGTCTATATCAGTATGTAGTGTCTCTACTTTAAAGAGTCCTCTCCTGCTGATGTTCAGGTGTATATCAGTATGTAGTGTCTCTACTTTAAAGAGTCCTCTCCTGCTGATGTTCAGGTTCATATCAGTATGTAGTGTCTCTACTTTAAAGAGTCCTCTCCTGCTGATGTTCAGGTGTATATCAGTATGTAGTGTCTCTACTTTAAAGAGTCCTCTCCTGCTGATATTCAGGTTCATATCAGTATGTAGTGTCTCTACTTTAAAGAGTTCTCTCCTGCTGATGTTCAGGTGTATATCAGTATGTAGTGTCTCTACTTTAAAGAGTCCTCTCCTGCTGATGTTCAGGTTCATATCAGTATGTAGTGTCTCTACTTTAAAGAGTCCTCTCCTGCTGATGTTCAGGTGTATATCAGTATGTAGTGTCTCTACTTTAAAGAGTCCTCTCCTGCTGATGTTCAGGTTCATATCAGTATGTAGTGTCTCTACTTTAAAGAGTCCTCTCCTGCTGATGTTCAGGTGTATATCAGTATGTAGTGTCTCTACTTTAAAGAGTCCTCTCCTGCTGATGTTCAGGTGTATATCAGTATGTAGTGTCTCTACTTTAAAGAGTCCTCTCCTGCTGATGTTCAGGTTCATATCAGTATGTAGTGTCTCTACTTTAAAGAGTCCTCTCCTGCTGATGTTCAGGTGTATATCAGTATGTAGTGTCTCTACTTTAAAGAGTCCTCTCCTGCTGATGTTCAGGTGTATATCAGTATGTAGTGTCTCTACTTTAAAGAGTCCTCTCCTGCTGATGTTCAGGTTCATATCAGTATGTAGTGTATCTACTTTAAAGAGTCCTCTCCTGCTGATGTTCAGGTGTATATCAGTATGTAGTGTCTCTACTTTAAAGAGTCCTCTCCTGCTGATGTTCAGGTGTATATCAGTATGTAGTGTCTCTACTTTAAAGAGTCCTCTCCTGCTGATGTTCAGGTGTATATCAGTATGTAGTGTCTCTACTTTAAAGAGTCCTCTCCTGCTGATGTTCAGGTGTATATCAGTATGTAGTGTCTCTACTTTAAAGAGTCCTCTCCTGCTGATGTTCAGGTGTATATCAGTATGTAGTGTCTTTACTTTAAAGAGTCCTCTCCTGCTGATGTTCAGGTGTATATCAGTATGTAGTGTCTCTACTTTAAAGAGTCCTCTCCTGCTGATGTTCAGGTGTATATCAGTATGTAGTGTCTCTACTTTAAAGAGTCCTCTCCTGCTGATGTTCAGGTGTATATCAGTATGTAGTGTCTCTACTTTAAAGAGTCCTCTCCTGATGATGTTCAGGTGTATATCAGTATGTAGTGTCTCTACTGGGACATGTCTCCATGCTTTAATGTTCAAAAAGCTCTTTATTTTTCTCATACTGCCTGTGCTGCAGCACCTCTTTTCACCCTCTGTCTGAAACCAGAGCCCAGTCTGCTCTGATTGGTTAGCTGGCCGGCTCTGTTGTGATTGGTCAACCAGCTTAGAAATGTCCCGCCCCTTAGCCTATCACGTACAATAGCGATAGCCAATAGAAGCGCAAGTGATCTCACTATGTTCCTGAACTTTTGAATTGTAGCCTTTGCAGACCATTTACATGCACTAAAACCTAGGACACACTACAGGGAAGGGGAAAATCCCAGAAAGCATAAAAGGGTGTTTGAAACACATTCCCCTACAATCTGTCTTTTATACAACTTTCTAAAAGCTACAATCTCACAATCAAATCAACTTTGAAGAAAGATATTTATAGAAAGATACAAAATAATTGTCCATTCTCCTCAAACAAACATTTATATATCCCAAATGTTGTTTTCCTCAAGCGTTTATTTTTGAAGGTCTCCATTGTTTTCATGCTTTCAGTTCATTGTTACAGTTTGTGATGTCACAGCAGGATCACAGCAGGACGGCTCTGAGACGAGGAAGCCATGTTTTCTATCTGATGTGTTGTTGGTGAGACTCACATCAAACATGTTGCGTTTGGACTGCATTAACCGGACACAATATGACATGTAGTAACTCCCCCTCTCCCTCCCTTTCTCCCTCTCTGTGTGAGACATAAAAGACAGTGAAAGTTTTATATGGAAAGGCTCCATCTGGTTCAGTTTAGAGGCGAATCAGAGGGGTACACTGCAGTGTCACAGCTAACCGGAACTTTCTAACACGCTATTGTCTCGTAAAAAGAGCAGTAGGCCTGTCTCACAAAAATTACAACACCTATCAACACTGACAATACTGAAAAATGTACTTTAATTGATAATAATTGTATTATTTCAACAGATTTCACAAAACTGTATTAGGTTAGTTGAAAGCAATCATTTTAACTGTACACTTAATATTATAGTATAATAATATATAGTATTATAAGTACATCCTGATGCCTTTACAACCGAGGTGGGAAAAGTACTCAGATCTTGTACTTGAGTAAAAGTAGAAGTACTTGAGTAAAAGTAGAAGTACTCAGACCTTGTACTTGAGTAAAAGTAGAAGTACTCATATCTTGTACTTGAGTAAAAGTAGAAGTACTCAGATCTTGTACTTGAGTAAAAGAAGAAGTACCCAGATATTGTACGTGAGTGAAAGTAGAAGTACTCAGATCTTGTACTTGAGTAAAAGTAGAAGTACTCAGATCTTGTTTAGTAAAATTAGAAGTACTCAGATATTGTACTTGAGTAAAAGTAAAAGTACTCAGATCTTATACTTGAGTAAAAGTAGAAGTACTCAGATATTGTACTTGAGTAAAAGTAGAAGTACTCAGATCTTGTTTAGTAAAAGTAGAAGTACTCAGATCTTGTTTAGTAAAATTAGAAGTACTCAGATCTTGTACTTGAGTAATAGTAGAAGTACTCAGATCTTATACTTGAGTAAAAGTAGAAGTACTCAGATCTTGTACTTGAGTAAAAGTAGAAGTACTCAGATCTTGTACTTGAGTCAAAGTAGAAGTACCAGAGTGTAGGAATACTCTGTTACAGTGAAAGTCCTGCATTCAAAATGTTCCTCAAGTAAAAGTAGAAAAGTATTATCATCAAAATATAGTTAAAGTAGCGACAGTAAAAGTAGTCATTGTGCAGATTGGTCCATTTCAGAATAATATATATGATATGTTTTATAATGATTGATCATGAAAGTGTTCTCAAAGCTGGTAAAGGTGCAGCTAGTTTGAATGACTTTGTATACTGCAGGGTAGCTTGTGAATTTACTCCAGGTGGAACTAAAGTCTGATTTAACACTTGATTAGATTTCACATCATTCATCCACATCTGTAAAGTAACTAAAGGTATTAAATACATGTAGTGGAATAGAAGTACACCATTTACCTCTGAACTGTAGTGGAGTAGAAGTACAAAGTAGCATAACATTGATAAAGTCAAGCACACTTAAGTAAGTGTACTTAGTTACTTCACACCACTGCTTCCTCCTCTTCTCTCTTCCACACCGCCTCTCTGCCTCAGACGGTGTATTGCCTTAATAAGGACGCTGCTTCCCCCCCGTCCCAGAATAGAAACGGCTCTGCCTCATGGTTCTAATCATGAAGAGGCTGAAACAACAGGACACCACGAGAAAGACTGGCTCAAATCCAACCTCCTCTTAGTTGGCGGGCGTCCAACTTCCCCCTGAAACTGTCGGGAAACCTGTCTCTGAGGTGCAGAGATAAAAAAAAGCCAACCTGAGAGAGATCTTAAGAAAAGAGCTCTCACTTACCCCTGTGTTTTATTGCTTCATGGAGATCACCTTACGCGGCAAGATAAGTTTCCAGTGGGAAAGCTCCCTGATGTCTGTAGGTAAAAAACTCAGTGGATATTATTAAACGACAGCTAAAGACACGTCATAAAGAAGGTAAAGATGAATGTATATGAAGCTCTGTGCAAGTTCTTTAAAGAAAACTGGGTAATATGCTCACGGCTGCATTTCCCCCTTAAGATATACGATTTCAGGATCGGGGTCTAATCGCCAAAGACTTTTAACATTTTGTCATATGGCGCATGTGTCAATAAATGTTCTTTAAACAAAAAATGAAGTATTTCCTGATTGAACTGGTACTTGTTTCATATTCTTATTGTTGGCCAAATACTCTTTATTGAACACAAGACACAGAACAATGCAACAACATCAGCTCGCAAGATGTGAGATCAGGGTGGTCAGTTATCAGAAGCTGAATCACATCAAGTGTCCCACAGGTGAGGATGAAAACTCTTAATTTAACCCAAGCAGATCTGAGGTCAGCAACTTATGTTTAGCTACAGGAGTCGACCACTTCAATCAAATAGTGACACCTCAACTGTGTGATGGTTGAAATGT